GTTTACGGTTATATTTCAGTTTTATGTAGCTGGAAATGGAACAGAGGTGACATGAATGTGTTAGCTTGTGAAATCATTTGTTAAACGAATACAATATCCTTCATGTTAACCTGCTTTGCTGTGTATGTTGTTCTGTGGAGATGTTGACACACTGATATACATAGTTAACTTTCAACCAGTCGGTTCCCTGTCGAAATCCTGCTTCGTCTAATTAGGCCGCAAAAACCAGATACTCTCAGTTGTGTGCTCAAGCAACAAATGTGATTCATTGCCTAGTGCACAAACCTACCTCTTGACTCTTAATTATTATCTGTATGACGTTTGTAGATCAGTGATTATCTATTTAGCTATGGTTTTGCACTACTAAACATCTTGGAATCGAGTAATAACACCTAACCAGCAGTTAGTGATTTTCACACAGATTAGTTTGTTAAGCCGCAGTGGGTTTGTCTTCGATAATTTCTACGCTGTAGAGATTCACATCGTCCACGGTTATTCGAAAATAGTTGTATTCTTTTGCAGTTTAGTGCTCTGAGTATGTTTGGCATGAGTTTGTCTGGGATCTATCCAGTATAAGGTGATGCTCCAGTACTGCTTTGCTGCAACTACTTCTAGTTTAAGGATAAGAAGTGAAATGGTGGGATGTGCTGACCACTTTACCTACTTGGGGAGTTGTACCAGTCTGAACGAGGTGGTTGCTGACGAGATATCCGACTGTCTGTTGAAGGAAGCACATACTGAGTTGCAGTTCGTTCTGTCCTTTTATATGGCTGTAAGACATGGACGTTAAAAGTCGAATAGTATGAAGAGATTAGAAGGTTTTGATCATTGGTGTCTTTGTAGCATTGTTGGCATGTGGTGGAATCAGCGTGTGAGCAATGCTGATATTTGATGGAGGGTACTATGCAAGACAAGCGAGTCGATTGATGAGTTTGTGAACCTTTGTCGGATGAGATGACATGGATATGTACTGTATATGCTCAGTCACCACCCTACATTGACGTGGAATGCTAGGGGAAGTTGGATCAGGTTGAAAGAGAGTTTAAGATGACCAGACTAAGATATGGCATTAATCGACGAGGTCCGTGATTGTTGGTTTGAGTCGTGTGGAAAGATGTAGACTGCCTGACTGGAGTTTTCGAAAAGAAAGACATCAGTGGTTGAGATCTCTTTGTGAGATGGCTGAAAATCGGTCACAGCGACGTGAATGTATTCACTCCTTGACGTCTTCTAAAGCTTGAGTATTTGCATTAATGGTTATCTTCAAATTGTTTATGCTTTCTCACAACTTTATCTCCTTTGATACGAAGTTTTTTTCTATCCATTTATTCGTTTCATGGTACTGTGGAATGTGTCAACTTGAGGTGATACACTTTTATGTAAGGTCCTACTTTGATTCTGTGTTTATCTGTACCTCTACGGTGAAGAGATTCTTCAGACTATCATTTCTCCATTTGTATTATGGAATTCCAACAGATTGATTGAGTAATTCTCATGTATTTGGAATAGGAGTGAATGCACTGATATGTTGTTCACCTCACTGCCGTACACCTCATAAAATACATTGTGATGGTGTCATAAACGAATGGGGTCGATTGTATCTTCCCTAGCTGTTTGTTTTTTCAACAAGAGGATTCATCGAATTCGTTATCAATTCCAGAAGTTTTCACGGTATCTACTTTTCAACATTAAACTGGTTACAGTAATGGTGGATAGTGACTAACAGTGGAATCCAGGTTGCACATTTCGTCCTATTCGGGACTCGTCAGCTGGGTGTGCCTGCCTTTCAGTGAGTGGTGTTGTCCCCACTGGGATTCGGGCTCGGGAGCGATCGCTTCAAACGCGAGAGAGTTATCTACTATATTACCAAGCCGTGATCGCCACTAAATGTGCGACGGGTATAGTTTTAGTATAATTGCTTGTATTACACCGTCGTTGATTGCACCGAATTGATCGATCTCTATTGGCATATGGGCTCCTGTGCGGATGCCTCGATATTACCTGTGTTCTAATTATGTTAATGATGGAGTCCGAATCCCGGTGGAAACAACACATTGGGAGGCAGGTACATCCGGCCGACGAGTCCCAAATAGGCCGAAATGCGCATCCTGGATTCCACTGCTAGCCACTATCCATCATTACTATAATTAGAACACAGGTAATATCGAGGCATCCGCACAGGAGCCCATATGCCAATACAGACCGATCAATTCGGTCCAATCAACGACGGTGTAATACAAGCAATAATACCAATTAAATTTGTTCCTTAAATGTTGCATTTTAAAGAAATATACATCTAACCTTTGAATTCCTACAGTATAGCTAATGTACTTTGTAAAATCGTTTGAATAACATACATGTTTGGCTTCTTCAGGACATTGACAGAAAAGTTTTAATCATATAGAAACCAACCTCAGGTGGTTGGATCAGTAAGTGTTCAAAGATACCGGAAGGAAATTGCAAACGGGTATATAATAATAATAATAATAATAATAATAATAATAATAATAATAATAATAATAATAATAATAATAATAAGACAACGACCAGTGATCACCGGGTTTTCGGCTCGGTGTTTTACCAACTGGGTTACGAGGTCGCTGGTGCGAATCCTACCGAGGTCCGAATTTTCATTTCACTTTCAATCATCACCTAGTACCAGTACTAGTCTACAAAACCATGTCTATAATGAGGCAAGAACTGAATTCATATAATCGAGATGGGCAAAAATGTACTAGGTAATTTAACTACCTCATGTAAGATATAATAGAAAGTCACCAGACAATTGATGAGTCTTTTACCTCTGAATTCAAGAAACTAAAGTTTCAATGGAACATGATTTTAGCCTAGTTGAAGGCATCTATACTGCCTAGTGTACTAGTTCACTACATACTAGCCGGTCTTAAGCCCAGATAAAGGGGGAAGGTTGGGCATAGGGTTAGCAATCCTACCCTGTAAAACTAATCCAATCGCTAAAGGAACTTCAAAGCAGAAAAAAATTATAAAAAATAAAAGTAAACCTATTCCTCGCTGGAATCAGAGAAACTAAATGACGCCAATTGATGAAAGCCTTCGGGAAGCCATTTGGCCGATGTGTCTTCTCTTCTCTCAGTGAAAGCAACAGTAAGCATAGGGACATAGAATGTCCGCACGGTGTTTGAAGCTGGCTGACAAGCCTACCCACATTGCAAAAGAGATGAGCAGATATGGCATAGAAGTGATAGAAATCTGCGAAAGTAGATGGAATGGAAGTGGACTCTCCAAAGATGGAACTTACTTCAGGTGAACGTAGAGGAGACAGAGGTGATGAAGATACGCAGCCAACCAACAACAAGCACCAATCACTATCAACGGGAGAAATCTAAGTGAAGTTGTCTCTTTCACCTAACTACCTACCTAGGCAGCATCGTTTCAACCACAGGTGTCGGCACACATGAGCATGTCAAAGCCAGGATCGGAAAGATAGCAAAATAGGCCTTCCTGCATTAATCTGAAATCAGTGTAGAGATCTACTGCAGTGCATTGCACTGAGCATAAAGTGTGAACAACGTCCGGATTTTCAACACCAATGTCAGTCAAGTTAGTGCCTCTATGTGATGGTTCAGAGACTTGGTGCATTACGGAAAGCATTTCCAACAAACTGCGGACATACATCACATCAAAAGCTGTCGCCTACGCTTACGCGATACTGACACTGAAGATCAGGTGACCAGGATAGTAAGAATAAGCAACAAGGAACTGTAGCTGGCAACGAACCAACCGATCAAGAATCTATCGCTCAGCACTGAGAAGACGGTTTTGAGACATCACGCTTCAGGTCAGGCTGTCGAGTGGGACCCGCTTGGGAAACGACGAGTTGGTCGTCCGAGGGTGACATGAAGGAGATCATGTGAGGAAGAAATGAAAGCTTGTGAGCAGTGGTGGAGCTAGGTTGAAAAGAGTTCAGAGAATAAACTGAAATGGCGACGTGCAACTGAAGCCCTATGTTCCACTAGAAAAACAAGGGAAAAGTAATAATAATAATATTACTACTGGATCTCTATATATTTTTTTCCTCACTGGTTTTTGGTGTTATCGGCTGTTTAGGATAGGTATTTCTTCACTTTCAGCATTCATCGACTCGAACTTTGCCTAAATTTCAATGGTAATTGAACTTGATAATTCAATGTTTCAAATTCCAAAGTGTTTTTCAACAGGTGATAAAGTTTTCCTAACCAACTTTTGTTAAGAAAGGTATAATTTTTTCTTAAAACTTAAATAATTTTCAGTGAAAAACGTATAAGTTCACATTTATACACTGACACCTTTCTATAGATATTTTGATGTCAGCCTTGACTACATTATAGAATGTAGACAGTCTAGTTGATTAGTCTTAATTTAGGACGAAACATGAATCCTAGATTCAACTTGTATGTTAAAATGCTATTTACTAATTGCTATTTCTTTTCCCTTTTCATTTTTTTACTCTCTCACTCTTAGGTCAGATTTGTCGATGTTTAATCTACAAAAATCATGTTTGCCTCCAATTTCAGTGAGATTACATTCAATCCTAATCGATTAAGTGGTAATAGTAGTAACAGTAGTAACAGTAATCATGATTTGTTCAAATCCGGTATGATCACTAAATCAAGTCTTTCGTCTACAGAAGTTAACCCGGTGAATAAATTATCATTGAAACGGACTAATTCTCCTACTAATAATCCATATCATTTTGATCCATTTTGTGAATCACCTACTTTATCGATTTCTGATGGGATTAATAATCTAATCTCTTCATCATCTGCTACTGTTATCACTTCTATTAATCGTGAATTGAATTCATCTAAACAGTTAACAAGTAATTGACACTTGAAGGTGAAAGTGCAATATCAGATGATTTATTGGTAAAATCGGGACAAGTATTTTTGGATTTGTGTACAAGTCAAATAGAGAATTCATTAAATTCTGTTAACTCATGTACAACTAACCCAACTACTACTAATACTACTTCTAACGCATGTATGAGTAGTAGTAGTAGTTGCAACAGCAGTGGCAATAGTATAACTAACAATAACAGAATAAATAATTCTACAACGCTTACAAATTCGAATAACTGGATGATGAAGAAGGCGACAACAACAATGAACACGTCTGTATTCGATCATTCTAATGACGATAACCATGGTAACAACAGCAAGAATAACAATAATGAAGCAATGTCAGGTGTAGTTCGAACTCCTGTTCATCCAAGAACAACCCTAAAATGTCCATTTTGTGATAAAGTGCGTTTTATATTGGTTATTTTGTTCATGTTATCAACTTTTATATTGCTGTGTGTGTTTATAACAAATGCCAACTTGTTAAATTTAACGTTTCCACATCGTACAACTTGTCATCGTGGATGAGAATTTGATTATCTTTTACAAACCAAATCTCCAGCTAGCAGAATGGTTAAACATTCACATTTTATTACTAATTATGAATAGTGGCGAGCAGTGGAGTCTAGAACGCGTGCTTCCCTCTATTTGGAACTCGTTAGCTGAATGTACCTGGACTCCAGTGAGTGATATTGTTCCTACTGAGACTTGAACCTAACCACCATCTGCCTCACCGCACAGTGTTGGCCGAAATAGGTTCAGGCTAGAAAAAGCCTCAGGGTGGCCAGACCAAACTATGCCATCAATGCACGAAGTCCTTGACTGTTCTTTTGAGCTATGTAGGGTTATGTAGACTAGCTTGTTGGGGTCCGTGAGAGAAGAGGAACCTGTGGTTGGGGACTCTAGGTAATATGGTTCTGAATCGATGTCATTAGTGCAGATGCATACACATGTTACCCTAATCTCAGCCGCTATACTTAATTTCATTTTCTCATTCTTCCTTCCTCTCATTTGTTATTTTCGTCTTCTACTTCTTTTGACCGGTTTGTTTTTCCTTCATCTTCCATTTTCTTGCCTTGTTACTTGATTTCCTGATATGACGTGTGTGCAACTTGGGTCGTTATACAGTAATTCCTGGTCCTATGTTGATCTTCATGATAATGATGTGACTTGAACCCGAGAACCGATCGCCTCAAACGTCGGATCGTTATGCTCTAGGCCTCCGAGTCACATCAGGCACTTCTTGTGCAACGGGTATAGTTTTTATGTTGTTAGTTGTATTATCCTGTCGTTGATTTGACCTAATTAACCGATCTCTATAGACTTAACGGCTCCCACGCAGGTACGTTCAGCTCATGAGTCCTAGATAGGACGAAACGCGCGTCCTTGGTCCCACTACTAGTCACTAACCATCATTAATATAAAACTAAAACACAGGCCTCTTCTTTGAAGCCCAAATGCCAGTGGAGACTGGTCAATTCAATCCAATCGACAAAGGGATAATATAAGTAACAACATAAGAAGATATGGGTTTGAGGATATCAGATAATTGAGTAACCTTCACATCATTCAAAAAGTTTTGTAAGGCAGCATGTCTTCCTACAATAAGTATACGACGTGAACCGTTCTCGAACTAATTAACTATAAGCTTCACCCATCTAAATCAACAAGAGACCAGGTATTACTGTGTAACGGTCCAACTTGCCACACCTCACATCACTACACCAAGTAAAAAGGCAGTGAAGTGGAAGATGAAGGAAAGATAATTCAGTCAAAATAAATATCAAGTACTAAAAGAGAGAAAGGAAGAATGAGAAAATAGTGAGATTCGGTATAGCATCGTTAAAATGAGGATAATGTGAGTATGTGTATACATCTGCGCTACTCACATCTGTTCTCAGCCATGTCACTTAGAGCCAGTCTCCAACGAATGGTACTTCTTGTCCTGCTGACCCCAACCGGAAAGTCTGCATCACCCCACATGACTCAAACCAACAGTCAAACACTTCATACATTGATGTCATGTTTTAGTCTGGCCGACTCGAGCCTTATCAAGCCTGAAGCTACTTCAACCAATATTGTGTGACTAGGTAGACGGCGACTAGTTATACGTGGTACATATCGGAACCAACCATCTCAGATGATGAAGGTTCACAACCGTGTCCACTGATTTACTTCTGCTCCCTACAACTCTACACCTGACGTCTGCGTTACTCACGTCGTGACACCACGGAATACGGCCTATACTACGAAGGCAACGGTGTTCAAACACCTGCAGCCTTATCATATCTTCCACCTTCAATGGCCACGCTTCACAACCATACAGTAGAACAGAGTGGACTGCTGTGCAGTACACGTGACCGTTAATAGACAATCGGATATCTTGGCGGTGCCACAGGTGGCGTGAGTTGGCAAAAGTCAGTCGAGCCTTTTGTATTCGTGCAGAGATTTCATAGGCCACTGAGCCACCAGGGTAGGGCTGATCCTACTTCACTTACCTGTGAAGTGAGTGGTCGACACACTCAACCAGTAGACTCTCTACTGTTAGCCGTGGCACCGTATTACAGCAACAATTTGGATTTGGTTGGTGAGAAAGCTTGTAAAAAGTGAATGGATATTCATTCCTGGCAGGACAAAATGTACTATCTCGTCTTCGTTAAATACAATCAGAAAATAACCTAACGCCAATCAGTCTATGAAAAAATGATTTTGCTGTATATATTATCATGTCTTCAAGTTTAGAGGAATAAATTATCGATTTTCTAGATATATTTTCTTTATTATTCGTCTATTTTTCTGTTTCTCTTCGACAGATTTTCAGTAATTCCAGCGCTATAGCCAAGCATAAGCTGACACACAGTGAAGAGCGTAAATATATCTGTGGTATATGCCATAAAGCATTCAAACGTCAAGATCATTTGTAAGTTTGTTAATTAGTTTATTCTTTTTTTTTCTCCTACTTGTATTGCATCCACATACTTTTTGTTTTATGTATAGTGTTAACGCCAGACGTATGATTGACAAGCTAATCATCATTTACAACTGGTGTTTCGAAAAAAATTTTTTTTATTGGTTGTGTTTACTTCGAAATACCTAATTTTCATAGTGTAAAAAAGTGTGGATGTTTAAGTCTAGTTGTTTGTTTTAATAAAGTGAATTGATGTAACGATATGATTTTACTTTCCTTCAGCGACTTTTAAATGACCTTGAACGATTTTAAAATAACCTTGGGTGAACCAATGGAGAAACAGATGTTTCTTTTAGTAATTTTAAATACTGAAATGAAAGGAAATTGAAGTAGATACTTTTTTCTAACGATGTTTAGGAACTCGTCTAGGTTTTCAAATGGTTCTTCTCATATATAATAAAGATATTCATACACATAGCTGCATAACATGGAATCTCATGAACTGTTGTGATGTGAAAGTAAGTAGATCTTTAATTGGTTTCCTATTGTCTCTGAATTATTTGTATAAGAATTAGATATCAGTTAGAGGCGTACAGATTTCAAAGTATAAAACTCTACAATTAAATCATAAAGCAGTAAAATGGTTGTTTGTTGTTGTACAAATTATCGGGTACTGTGTAATACTAATGTTATGCACCAATGTAAACTTCTTAGGCATACTTTTATCCTAATTGAGAAAAATAAAGGTAGCGCATATGTTGTAATAACCCCTCAGAATTAGCAAAGTTATATCAGAAGTAATTTCTTTAAAGTTAATCAAAATTGTGCTTAATTGGCTACATCATTTCAATAATTCAATGCTTCCTAGAACTACTGGAAAGGATTAACAAAACACAGTCAGCCACCTTGTGCGCATCCGTGAACTAGGCAATAAACCACACCTATTGTGTGAGGGCTAAAGATTATTACCGGCGCTCGAACGTGTGATCGACTGGTTTAATTTCATCTTCCTAAGCCACTTTATCACAACTCTACTTCAAGGTTATTTTGGTGTTGATCGCTTAAGGATGGCAAAATTTTAGACAACACTTTTATACACAGTTACAAAAGTTTATCCTTGTTAATTGTTATTGTGTGTGTAACTGATTTGTTATTCTAAAATATTTATGTTTGTGTTTCAAAGGGGAACATATTTCGATACAATGTTGCCTCGATACAGGTATAAATATTATACGCTAGGGAAATAAGCTGTATATATATGAACACTTTCAGGAGAAAATGTTTTCTCCTATTTTTTTTTGCTGGAATTTTATATTCATATAGCAGGTACGAAATATACATATGTGTAAAAGAGAAAAGTAAGGTAGTTACCTTGGTGGTTAAGCGTTTAAAACAAGCGTTAGGGTCACACTACACTCTAAGGTATCTTTCATACTTTAAACTCCCTTGGGTTCCTAGTGGAACATAGGGATTCAGTAGTAGCACGCCTGCATTGCACTCTCTTCTCTACAGTATTCTCAATCTGGCACCACGACTGCCCACAAGCTTTCATTTCTTCCTCACACAATCGCCTCCATGTCACCCTCTCCATGGATGCCCAACTCGTAGTTTCCCAATTTTGATTCACTCTAGTGCCTGGGCTGACGCGTGATGTCCTCGAATGGTCTTCTCAGTGTATCCTCATCCCATCCATCTCCACTTGTTTCTGCATAATTGTTAGTCGATAGGTTGTTGGTTGTTTCGTTGGCATTCAGAGTTGCTTGTTGCTTTTTCTTATTATTCTGGCCATCTGATCTTCAGTGTCAGTGTCAGTGTCAGTATCGAGTGAGCGTAGGTGGAAGCTATCGATGAATGTGTGTAGTTTGTTGGAAATGCTTTTCGTGACACTCCAAGTTTGTGAAGCATATGGCAGCACTGACTTGACATTGCTGTTGAAAATCCGGATGTTGTTCACACTTTATGCTCAGTGCAATGCACTGCAGTAGATCTCTCCACTGATTTCAGATTAATGCAGGAAGGCCTATTTTGCTATCTTTCCGATCCTGGCTTTGACATGCTCATGTGTGCCGACACCTGTGGTTGAAACGATGCTGCCCAGGTAGGTAGGTAGGTAGATAAAAGAGGCTACTTCCTGATTCATTGATTGGTTTAGTTCTGGGTACTGACCAAATTCCATCGACCGTTTTTCAATGTGGTCATCGAGGCGTTAGGCTCACAATTATTTTGCACTTTAACGGATATTGGTTGGTTAAAGGTAGTTGGCAGGATACCCTGAACCTAGGTTTCATACTGGTAGGAAATCGTCAGCAAGGCGTATGTGAAACCTAGCGGGAACTGGTGTCGTCTGTGAGATTTAAACCTGCGTCACCCAGTGTCGTAGTCAGCAACTTACCACTTAGCTATTACGGCCACGATTGACCTATTGTAGAACTAGTTTATATTCATTGATTGATAGAATTCGGTCAACACTCAAGACTAGATAACATGGAATCCGTTGCTTCGCAGTAAGCAATCTGTGTACCTAATCCAATCCTACAGGAGAACGATCGTGCCCAAACAGCTCAGTTTTAAAGTCTCGGACTGCAACACCAGGTGTCGTGGGTTGAATCTCGAACGGGACGTCAGTTTTGTCGAGGATGCAGATACTCCTTGCCAGTGAGTGCTGACAAATGTGAAACCTAGGTTTAAAGCTTTCTGTTGATTTCTTTGAACCAACCAACATATATCTGATCCACTTTGTTTGTCTAGTAATGCATATTTGTCTTCTAATATTGGTATTATTTCTCTTCCCTTGTATATAAGTTTGTGAGACTGTACCAGCTAGGTGGGATTATTTGATGATATGGCTTTATTGGTGTAGATGGTTGACTTTCAATGTCAATTTAGTGGTGAGTGGTTCAAAGGTTCAAACTTTGCTGGATCTATTTTGGCCTCGATGACCACGTGGCATAATTAGCCTCTCACAGAAGTTCTGATATTCCAGTTAGTGCTCATAATGTTCTCTCGAAAGATAATAAAAGCTTGAATATTTAAGTAACTAGCTCGATGGATACAAGACACCCAAGGTCATCCATCTGTGCTGCAAATACTCTTCATCATTTCACTTTTGTTAATAACGTGTCTTATGAATTCGGTTAGATGCAATGGGATCTTAGAAAGTAACTGATACTCTATGATCTGCTTGTCTCTATGTATATGCGTGTGTACACGTGTCTACATGAACAATTTGTTGTGTTTTTTACTGCTCTAAACCAGAATAAATAAATGATTACAAAATCATGTACTTGCATAGCATGAAATTTCACTGTAGTCTTGAATTAGTGTGATTAAAACCGTGGGTGGCGGTAAAAATACTTTTTGATGCTAGGTTCTCCTAATTCACTAGATATTATATCATTAGTATTATTATAGGACAACTGTGTACATTCTCATGTTTATTTGCGTACGCCCTTCTGTCTCTCCGTGTGTGTATGTGTACCTTTTTTGATCAACTGTACAACTTAATTGTCCAATCAGGTTTTTCTTGACTAAGCTGTAGCATGAATTAAAAGTTGAGATTCGAAACTTCTACCTTAACGGCTGACGACTTAAAACTTTGACTTACATTTAGCCTACTTCCTATCATGAATTATTAGTGCTTCAGCCGTCCAGAACTTCAAACCAGCAAACATATATGTTCAATCTTCGTCTTTGCCATAACCATCATAAAATCCTGACTTTTCTTGATGATAGGTAACTAATTTATTAATATTCTTTTGAGGCCTTCATTTAATTCTTCTGCAAAGTGTTTATGCATATATGCGTTAGTGTGAGGAGGTAAAGACTAAGCGATTAGATGTTACTCCTGGATAACTTGTGTTCCCTTTTCGGAATTATACTCATAAGGTATAGTGATGATTAACTCTTTAAAGACATCCTTTCTATGTGTTTCGTATTGTTGCTTGTCATTACTTCAAGCATTGTTATTATCATTATCATTACTATTACTACTTCTCACTGTTTAACATTGCATAAGTAATTTTAAACGAATAAATATTGACTGTAAGGTGTGACTTCAGTAAATATTATCTTCATATATATGTACTCATGTAGGTTTGTGTATACAGTTATGAATTTGTTTTGCTTATTCTTCCTTTCTATCTCATTCATCTTATCATCAAACCTGATCAACACGATTTCATACCTATTGTGGCATTTATCATTTGAAGATATGTCTACGAAATTCGATAAAAGTTATAAGCTATTTATCAGTTGTTTGCATGTTTGTCACCGCTTTACTTTACCTTGAGATTTATGTTGACTTTGTTCATTAGCGTAGTCGAACGTTTCACCACTAATCTCTATCCTATGGTTTCTACACACTTCCCGTCGTTGTAGAACAAGATTCTTAGCATCTGTGCTATGCAGGCTTATAGGAACAATCAACCACTGTAAGGTGTAAAGGGAAAGAGTCAAGTCGAGTACATTAGTCTTTTTAACCGTGTTCCAGATTATTATTTCTACTCAATTCACTGAATAACCTCGTTATAATCATCATGATTATTGTTATTCAGGTAGTATTCACCACGGGCTGACATCAGTTGGGGAACCATTTCCAATGATTCCAGATGAATATCCCAAATTTCTAATGACTTGTGGGATAGACCAGTCGAAAGTGAAGCGGATGCCAACTGAAGACTATGAATGATAGTTACGCTACATCGCGAATTCAAAGTAGTAGCGAACTGTTAACAGTTGAACTCCGTAACCCACTGGCTAAATAGTTAACGTATTCATCATGAAACCTTGAGGTTTTGAGTTGGATCCCTGGTGTAGTGGGATCATAAATGTCTACTGCTGAGAAGTCCAGTGCTAGGACGAAACATCTATCCAATGCTTCCGGATTTTTATTGTTTCTGTGACTGATGTCAATCCGTGATCAATGCTTTCTTAAAATATTTTAAGTTGTTATTCATCATACACTGACATCAGTTGGAGGAACAAAGGAAACCTGGGAGCACTGGACAGCTGTT